GTCACTGGGCTAAACTGCTTTGCTATGAATTTTTGTTTGTTTTAGTTTTTAGGAAAAAGCCAAGAAACATACTCCTTTAAGAGTCCTACCCTGCATGTTCCCTGATTTCTTCTATGTGGACAAGACCTAGGAAACATGTGTGAGAAAGGTCCTATTAGAAAAGTCTAGGCTAATAGCTCCTCCTCTTGGAGCAAATATCCTAATCCTTGCTCTCCACGAGTACATCTGCCTTTCAAACCATACCCACCTCAGAAATGAGTGGGATGTCATCAGTGACCACTTAAAACGTTAAGTATTGGCTTCCTTAGGCCAAGGCCCTGGAGTCTTTCTACTCTAAGTGCCTTTGGCTTGTGTAAAACTCGGGGTATTGAGTGGGGCAAGTGGATTACAGAACACAGTCATTCCCTGAGATCTTAGTCACCATAATAACTATGTAAAATAACTACTCTATCTGCCTTTTGCAATTATCTTGCTAAGCTGGTGATCTAGTACCACTTTTTCAGGACAAGAGTCTCCAAGGAAGAAAACCTACCCCTGAAGAAAAAAATTAGACATTTGCAGATGTGGTTTTCCACAGATCTCACTATACTATCCTTCCTCTCAGAGTCCAATGTTCAGAAGTTACTTAAAATGAGCAGTCCCATGAAATCTAGGCACTGAAGATAAGAGTCAAGAAATAAGCACATGGGAGGAGTGACTTTATTTACAATAGGTAATGTAAACATAATTAGTTTTTAAAAGGAAAACAAATGAAATTAACATAGATAATTGCAATACTCAATAATCTTGTTGGCTTAATTCATAAATTAATGTTCAAGCCTGATGCCATAACTCATAGGTCTTTTATTTATTTTTCCCTTATCCTGTTCAAAGATATGTGAGGCAGCCCAAGATATAATTTTTGCCAATTCTTTTCTCATCCATGACGCATGAAATATCAGCCCTACTCAATATTGTGGAGCAAATCTATTCCAGATAAAACTTACAGTGATTTAAGGACAGACAGATGTATATTCACAATATTTGTGCACAATATACCCTGGTCAAAATCAAATGGCAAATCCTCTATACCTGTTGAAATAGGTGAGTGTCAAGATCATTTAAGGGTAGCGACAAATAATCCCAAACTCACAAATAATTTTGAACCAATATAATTTCATTGAGGACACTGTACTTAGCACTAGGCATTCCATGTTATAGATCTTCAACAATGTATAGTATTTACATTGCATTGTATAGTAATTACATTAGTATACATTGTTGTGGGAGTATGGAAGTGTGTGTGTGTGTGTGTGTGTGTGTGTGTGTGTGTGTGTGTGTGTGTGATGTATACATAAACCTTCAACAGTTTTCCTGATGCTCAAATCCTAGACCAAGCTTCAACCCTGATCTGGCTTCATTATAGCGCTTCACGCATTCTTAGACTGCCTCACCACTGGAAGCACATTCCTACAAGGAGAAGGGTCATGAGATCATAGCATGTCCTCAGAAAAAACAAATAAACAAAAATGCCTGCTGAAGTAAATTGCTGAGAGCCGCTGGACCAAAGGAAGTCTGGTTACTTTAAATTCATGCTCAACAATGAACTCCCATTTTTTTTTAAACCTTATCATGCTCTTGACTTATAAACTTAGTTCTAAATGCACATTAATGGTTTTAAAAATCAAATTTACAATTTTAAAAACCAAATTCTAAGATGTCTGTAATTGTCCCTATTTAACAGGTGTGAAAACAGAGACAGACTTAGAAATGTTCCCAAGCTATTACAGGTAGTATATGTTGGAACTGTAATACAAATTGATGTATGTGTCTTACTGCAAAGTCAATGTTTTTTCTACTACATCATACTATAAGCCAAGAACATCTCCCTAAACTGCTCTTACAGGAAACAGACATGTAATGCATATCAGTGTCCCTGGATCAATTCTCAGGTATCAGCTTTAAATTGAGTTCATTGAAAACCCCCAAAATAGGAGTTCCAAATAGTTTTAGCATAGAGAAAATGTTTGGTTCTTATGATAGACAAAGACCCACTCAGGCCCTAAGGCAAGTTCTTAATTTGAAAATGACAGGAGGTAAAACAGACTATCCTAACTTGCAGAGCTTTCACCACCATAAATAAGATTTAAAAAAATAGCACTCATAGTGGCACGTATCTATAGTCCTAGCTATTTGAAAGGCTTAGGCAGAAGGATCGCTTGAGTGTGGGAAATTGAGGCTCTGGTGAGCCATGATCACACCACAGCACTCCAGCCTAAGTGACAAAGTGAGATGCCGTCTCAAAAAAAAAAAAAAAAAAAAGATGAGATATAGAAACAAAATTCATCTGGCATGCAGTGGAAAAGCCAAAATCTAAAATGTTCACAGGTCCAATTAAAGTTACTTTTAATATTCTGAGGTATAGCTCCTTTTCAAGAATCCAGTGGCCAACAGTGCATGAGCTTCACCAAAACGGCCTCAAATCAAAGAATCTGGTGTTGTCTAGAGCCTGAGCAATGTAGACATGGAATGAGCAGAAGGTGATGAGATGAGTAGCATAAGGCAAAAAGGAGGCCCAGACACAGAAAAATGGTGTAACTGATGCTGTACCCTACCTCTGGACTTCAGGCCTCTGCTTCATTGAACTAAACAATCTTTCAGAACCTAGGAGGGCAAAAGTGTCTGCAGGTATCAACTCAATATTTAAAACCAGCACTTGGAATTCTTTCCAAATAGTGCGTAGGCTTTTGTGAAATGGAGACAATAACCGTTCTCCAAAATTGCAGCTCAAATAACCTGCTATGTGTCCACTGGGACCCAGACACTAATAACACCTATGATCATTACACAGGGAGAACTAAGGAATTGAGAAGTGAGGAAACACACTTAAAGACACAGCCTATTCTTCTGTACTTTGTACAAGAAACACAGTAAGAGGCAAAGCTGAGATTACAAATTAGGTCTTTCTGACTATAATTTTATCCATTATGCTAAGCAAGTGAGAAGAGGAAGAGACACCTAAATGCAAAGAATACAAAAGAATGAATAATAGAGTTCTGACAGTGGGCAAACTATGGAGGAGTTTCAGAGTTCTAAACTGTAATACTGGAGTGACAGTGCAAAAATGGCTCTAAAATTCTGTCTCATGTGGAGGCTGGGACCTGAAAGTCTTTCTGACACAGCAGTCATGTTAACAAAAATGCACTTCTAAAAGATGCATATTATTGAAAATAACCACAATATCCAACAGCAAACATAACTTTCTGTGTGGTTGTTTTGGCCTAGGATTCCTTGGCTATGTGAGCAATTGATATATCTCAGGGGCATTTTTGTCAACATTTGATGAACAGACACTCATTCTTAGTGTTTACCAAGCTCTAGGTGCTGCCTAGATGGTGGAATGAATAAGATATAATGACTTCCCTAAAGGAATGCCCAGAGAGGGGTTTACTGACTCCATGTATGTAGAATATATGTGGTTAAGTGCTAGGCTTTAGCATCAGATAGCATGGATCTCTGTTCTAGTGCTGCTACTGACTAGCTTTGATTTGCAACAAATGCTTACATTTCTCTATGCTTTCATTTCCTCATCTATAAAATGGGGTTATTGTGAGGAATAGAGAGAGAAGTAAGTAAACCTACCATGTATGGAAGACAGGAAGCACTTAGCACTTATTGGTAGCTCCTATCCTCCTCCTCTTCATCACCATTATCACCTGGCAGCAAAGTACAGAAGAATAGGCTCTCCATGCTTAATACTTACACCTCTCTGATTATTTTCATTACCCTAGAGTATATTTGATATACTTTCTGTATATAAGTGAACATTTCCCCAAAGATCCAGGATGCCAGGCTACCAGTGGATAGCAGAGTGCTGGAAGAAATCCCACTCTAAATTCACTCTGAACATTTCCAGAAACATTGTTTTTATATATAACCAATTATATTTTTCTGGCCTAGAAATGAGTCTTCATAAGGTGAGAGAATGTTTCCTCTCTTCCTAACAGCACTCTGTATGTTACTTTTTTATATTATTTATGTTTCATATTATTTGTGGGTTGGGTGTTAACACTCCTAAAATGGTGCATAATTTTTGCGTAATAGTTATATGTGATAAATACACAGAGGTAAGCTAATATAACAGTAAAGAGCAATGGCATTGCAATAAGGTAGATACAGGTTCAAATCCTGGTTTCTCTGCCTACTAGCTGTGACCTTGGAGAAGACCCTTATGCTTTCAGAACCTGTCTCTGAAAAGTGGGCTAATAAATACATATCTCATATGAAGGGTGTGAAGACTAAATCGGGATACAATCTACTATTGGTTAACTATAGGGTAACTAAGTTAACAATGATTTATTGTATATTTTTAGATAACTACAATAGTGGAATTAGAATGTTCCTAACACAAAGAAATGACAAACGCTTGAGGTGCTGGATACCCCAATTATTCTGTTGTAATTCCATCATTACACACGGTATGCCCATATCAAAACATCACATGTACCCCACAATTATATACGACTATGTACCCATAATTAAAAGTATAGATTTTTTAAAAGATTGAGATAATATGTTTAAAATATTCAGTACACTATCTAGCACATAGTAAATTCTCAATAAATGTCAGTTTTTATTATTACAAAAAAGGCATGAGTTAGGTGAACCTAGTGGTTCAGGTTCACTTTCAATTGAATAAGCATTTATTGTGCACCTTCCAAATATCTTATACTCTGCTACTTTCTGTGGGTACTAGATAAAAGAAATGCATAACATGAGTCCTCTGAAAAAAATCTGTGCTTTTCACAGGAGTATGACCCTGAAAAAAAAAGTATCTTGCAACCATGTCCTCATACTGGAAGGTGGAGCTGGTACCAGCCTTTCTGCAATCATCTATAGATGAGAATGTGAAGGAGGAGGAAGGAAATATGTAGAGGTGGAGTTAGGTTTGATGGAAATTAATCATCACAGTCAGTGTATCTATATAAGGATCATTATCCCAATCCATCATCACCCTGCAAGCTGTACCAGCTTTATCCTACTTGTTCCTTTGGTGAACCAGGTGAGAAAAAATTCATCCAGCTACCTTTATGAATATTTCATGTTGTTCATAATAGAAATCTAGGGATACGAGCTAAGGCAGAGTTTATGTATATTTTGCCTTTTTTTTTGTTGTTTCTTCCTTCATTTTCTTTTCTTTCTGTTTGGTTATTTTAGTTTATTCTGTTTTTTTTTTTAATAAATTCATCTTTATAAGGGAAGAATAATGCAAATAGAAGTTTGCCTTCTTCTAGGCCGTTCCACACTGTTCCCAGTTTTTTTCCAGGCCATTCTTTTCTGGGCTGTCCAGCTCAAACTGGAAGCATCTGGGACTGTTGCAGAGGCCCTTCCTTGTTCAGTGTTGGTTCACAGAATTCCAAGATCTAATTATCCACTAAAACTGCTGCCTGCATTGCTGAGCTCCTCTTCTTGACTAATGAAAGAGAACAGCATTTGGTCAAGTTCTTGATATTAAGAGAGTTTGTAAGCTCTACTATCTTAGGACTATCTTATGGATATCCTAGGGGCTGTCTTATGCCTCTGAAATACCAAGATATTTTGAGCCCCTTTGCCCATTTTTAATTTGCTAAGGACTTAAGGGTCCAGTTTAGTTTCTGGTGCCCAGAGGATAAATAGATGTGCATGGTAGAAGGTCTGTCATTTTTGACTCAAACATAGCAGTGAAACTAGAAAGAGCGATTGAGGAAATGGTGTCTGGCTGGTTCTAGAAACTTTGGAAGCCTTAGAACAACACCCAGAACACCAACACACTCAAAGCGTAGAGATACTATGTAGAGACTATACTTTCCCATGACAAGAAATATAGAGACCTGAGATCTACTCTCAGTTGACCCAGTACATGCCATGACTTGATCTTAGAAAAGTAACTAAAAGTTAACAAAGTTAATTTTCATTGTGTTGAACACTAAAGATCATCCTTGACCCACCCTTCCTTTTTGACATTTAAAGGAAACAAGAGGTTAAAAAAAATCATGATGGTTATTATTAAAATGAAAACTGCTAATAAATTAAAAGGGGAGAATATGAATAATAGGCTTCTTTGTTTTTCTGTGTCCAGGTTCACTTAAACTTGTAAAAAGATGACCGACCTCTTGAGAAGTGTTGTCACTGTCATTGATGTTTTCTACAAATACACCAAGCAAGATGAGGAATGTGGTACACTGAGCAAGTATGAACTAAAGGAACTTCTGGAAAAAGAGTTTCGTCCAATTCTGAAGGTGAGAACCATGTGCCAGAACTGAGGGCTGCCAGAGTTCTGTACATGCTCTATTATATGACCCAGATCAGCTAAAAAGTGCACCGCCCCAGTAGACTCTAAGCAAAATCTATAAGCAGTATTTTGGGGATACCAGAAAGTCTGTTAAAGCAGCATGTTTTTTAAAGAAAATGAATGTTTTGTCTTCACTTTTCCTATGTACTTCCACCTTATAGACTCTCAGACTTTCTCATACATACATCCAGGCTTTTCCTAAGAAAAAGCAGAAAATAAGTTTGTTCTAGGACATGCATTAGCAAATTATCCTATCAAATGGAAAAAAGTATAGAAAGAGAAATCATCTATAAGAGGAGTTGACAAAATAGCCATGATTAAGAATCAACAATAAAATACAAGCATTTTATTCCATCTACTTAGGAATGACTCAGTTATTAACTTCAAAATCATAGATGGTAAATTCTAACATGGAATATATTAACATGTAATAGTTAAAATTTATGTAAAACTTAGAAGTACCAGTCACTGAACTTGGTTTATTCCACTCCTTCTTGTAGGCCTTACCTAAGCACTTAATCCTCTAGCTTAAATCCTTAAAATGTCTTCTTCTGAGGATCCCAATAGTCTTTATTTTCTATTAATGCTTCACATTTACTGGGTTCTATTAACTTAAAGTAATCCTCTATTGGACTAAAACTACATAATGTCAAACATCCACAATTTCATAGCGCTATTTGAATGTGTTGGTTGAGTATGCAGGCTAGGCTGACCAGGTCTCCCTTGGTGTGTCATTCACATACAGAACCCAGATGATCCAGACACAGTGGATGTCATCATGCACATGCTGGATCGAGATCATGACAGAAGATTGGACTTTACTGAGTTTCTTTTGATGGTATTCAAGCTGGCTCTGGCCTGCAACAAGGTTCTCAGCAAAGAATACTGCAAAGCTTCAGGGTCAAAGAAACATAGGCATGGTCATCAACACCAAGAGGAAGAAAGTGAAACAGAAGAGGATGAAGAGGATACACCAGGACGTAAATCAGGTTACAGACATTCAAGTTGGAGTAAGGGAGAGGAGCATGGATATAGTTCTGGGGGCTCAAGGGGAACTGTGAAATGTAGACATGGGTCCAACTCCAGGAGGCTAGGAAGACAAGGTAATTTATCCAGCTCTGGGAACCAAGAGAGATCTGAGAAAAGACACCATAGGTCCAGCTCTGGTCACTCATGGAGTAGTGGCAAAGAGAGACATGGTTCCAGCTCTGGAGAACTGGGAGAAAGAATAAACAAGTCACATGTTAGCCCTTCTAGGGAATCTGGGGAAGAATATGAATCTGAATGTGGATCAAAGAGTTGGGGAAGGAAAGGTCATGGTGGTCTGTCACGTGGATTGGAGACTAGTCAGCATGAATCAAACTGTACTCAGTCAAGAAGTAGAGGACAAAAGCTTGAGTATAACTGTTCAGTGTCGGGAGGTAGTGAGAGGCAAAGTCATGCATGTGGTTATAGCAATTCGGGTGGGTGTGGAAGGCCACAAACTGCTTCTAGTTCTCGTCAGTCACATAGATTTGGAGGGCAAGGATATCAATCTAGCTATACTCAGTCAGGCTGTCAGTCAGAAATTAATGGAGGACAAGGCCATGGCTGTGTCTCAGGAGGTCAGCCCTCTGGATGTGTTCAACCTGAGTCTAACTCCTGTGGCCAGTCCTATAGTCAGAGAGCTTATGGAGCTAGAGAACATGGTCAACCACAGAACTGTGGAGGACAACAGAGAACAGGCACAAGTCAATCCTCTTGTGGACAATACAGGTCTGGAGGTAGTCAGTCTTGTAGTAATGGTCAACATGACTATGGTTCCTGTGGCCACTTTTCAAACTCTTCTAGTTCAAACGAATTTTCCAAATGTGGTCAACATGAGTCTGGTTCAGATCAGTCTACTAGCTGTGAACAACATGGAACAGGCTTGAGTCAATCATCTGGCTTTGAACAACATGTATCTGGCTCAGGTCAAACTTGTGGCCAACATGGGTCTAGGTCAAATCAATCCTCAGGCTATGACCAGCATGGGTATAGCTCAGGTCAGACATCTGGCTTTGGACAACATGGGTCTGGCTCAGGTCTGTCCTCTGGCTTTGGACAATGTGGATCAGGTTCAGATCAATCGTCTGGCTATGGCCAACATGGATCAGGCTCACATCAGTCCTCTGGCTTTGGACAGTATGGGTCAGGCTCAGGACAATCTTCTGGCTTTGGACAGCATGAGTCTAGATCAAGTCAGTCTAGATATGGTCAACATGGTACTGGCTCAAGTCAATCATCTGGCTATGGTCAACATGGGTCAAGTTCAGATGCAACCACAGGTATTGGACAGCATGAGTCTGGCTCAGGCCATTTCTCTAGCTCTGGACAACATATATCTGCCTCAGGTCAGTCTACTAGATGTGGCCAATATGGTTCAGGCTCAGGTCAATCAACAGGCTTGGGCCAGACTGTATCTCGACAAGGAGAGTCAATATCCACAGTTCACAAGAGACAGGAAACTACTCATGGTCAGAGAGTAGATACCACTAGACATGGCCAGTCTGGTCACAGACAATCCACACAAATAGGGTCCAGGACAACTAGAAGACGAAGATCAAGCCAGAGTGAGAACAATGACAGTGAGGTGCACTCAGGGGTCTCACACACACATTCAGGACACA